GAAGTGGAAATTTGAACTGTTACGTCAAAATACAAAAAGCGATGATAAAATACATGCTCTACTTAATTTTTAACAACTACTTTATGTCGACAATTGCCGAGTGTTTGACTAAACATGTGCTCTCCATCTATTTTCTATACTCGAGATTGTATACGTCAGTTGTCAGCTTTTCTTGAATTGAAAGACGTGATGACGTACGCAAACACACTCGTCAGTCGCTTTACGGTTCATCTGGAACATGACGCAATCTTAACGCATTGTCGAAAATTTTACAGCCAATGGCTGGAAAAGGATTTCCGCTTTTATCCCGGAAAATGAAAAGGTGATAAGACGACTTAATCGTGTGACGAACCACGGACTCTTGTTCGCTTTGCTGTTTATAGGAATGATACGGCCTACGAAAACGAAGTTAAGCGCGGCGGTGTGGTCCATCGTGCTAAGCGTTAAGGAATACGCTCGCCACCGCATCTCTGATTGCGCTGATTGGGTTCGCAGATTCGAATCCCATGCGGGGATGATCATGTGCGAGAGGAATGCTGTACTCCTCGTCGCCGTAGGGTGGTTCACGTAGCCGGAAAGTCGATAACACGGCGTAATCGTGTGGCGAACCGCGGACTCTAGCTCGCTTTGCTGTTCATTGGAATGAATAGTTGTCCTTCTGTTGTTGTTTATTTTCGCATTCTACCGGCGGATATATGCACCACCCTACAAACACGAAGATTTAAGACATCCACACGTAGATACCAGTTCCGGATATTTTGTACAAAGCCTCTGCCACTATAACGCAAAATATGATATTTGAGAAAAACACCCGTCACGTTTTAAAATAAAAAATTAGTAATTAACCAGTTGGTAATTATTTGAAAATATTAATTTGCAGCGCAATCAGTATTCCCAACTGGTTATTTAATAATTCTCCTATTTTGATCGTCGGCGGGAGATATGTATACAGACAAATCCTTATTTCCCAATGGATTCGAATCTGCAAACCGTGCAGGGTAACTAGGGGGTTTCTGTCGATATCAATGACATGCCTGTTTCACATGCCCTTTCACACTTCGTTCTGGAACACGGGTCGACAACATTTGGAATTAAAAGAGTCGTTTTACATACTTTCAATCAAACTCGGACCTACTAGCAACATCTACAGTCTACACCAGGGTCGGCCAACCTTTTTGGCCGACGGGCCAAATTTAGTTTACTATTAATTGCGCGGGCCACATGGTAATTATGTTTTAGTTTTGCTACACTGACTAAAAGTTAATGAAAAAACAAACAAAACCCTTGCATCAAACTTTTTCAATAATAAGAACAATAAAAAAATGAAGATACAGTAAAGTCAACAAATTTTTTTTCTACACGTATATATTTTAGTGTGAAGTTTGGCACTGTTTTTCGCTAACAAGTTTGTCAATATTTGCTGAGATGGACGATGTAGCAATGCGAAGCGAATTTTTCATATGACTGTCAGAAATTAGTGATCTCACAGAGGATTTGACATGGTTCATCTGTGAAAACAACTTGCTTGTACAAGTAAGTGCTGCCAAATAATGAGGTCACTAAAACTGCCATTCTGCCCAAGGGTGTAAGCGACTATTTATGTATCGATATCTTCCAGTTGGTTTCTATTCAAAATGGCACTCATGGCTCGTTTGAAAGGGCCAGCAGAGCGCGTTTCAGGAAAATGAACAAATTGTTTGTATCAAATCTTCATATTAACTACATCACTCGAAAAATAGAAGTTTTACTCCTTTTTTTTAATTTAATTCCGGAAATACAGCGCGGGCCACTCGGAACTCTTCGGCGGGCCACATGTGGCCCGCGGGCCACGGGTGGGACGACCCTGGTCTACACCAATGTTATTCGGCATTAAAACTCCCGAAAACCCACTTATAATCTATAGTTCTTATTAAGACGAAGTCAAATGAAACACGAATGATACATTGATTCAGTCTATGACGAAATGAAAAGAACTTGTAAACGAAAAGGAAAAAGTGTGTTTCGACAGATTTGAATCACTTTAATTTTGTCCATTTTTATCGTTTTACATTTTGGGAACTACTGTGGATTATTTGGCTTTATGTCTCCCTTTTCATGGAACCCCTGCTGCTTTTAAAAATATTGCTGTAACCATTTTGATTCACAGGACCCAGAGATTGTCGATTGCTGTTCTAGAATATTCTGCTGAGATTCACAGGGACAAAAACGCTTAGCGTCAAGTTTCTCTCTTTTTCCGATGACGCGTCAGATTATGACACCACAATTAATGACCACTGACGACATAATTTCACCACAAATCTATGACGTACTTTTGTTTACTCTTGCGTTTCAAAAAATTGCAAAATGGAAACGTTGCACGTCCATTGAGGATTGTTACATTTAATTAAAAATCGATGTAACGATCCTCGTTAATGCGTTAGCGCTTTAAGTTCTATAGAACCGTCTCGCGGAATTTTATAAAATCAGCCAACCGGTTAGCTTTACTGGAAAAAACATGACTTTTTGTAACAGAGCCGGCTGAAAAATATGGCATTTGTGATGGAACCGGCTAACAAAAAAAAATTTGAATCCCACCACTGAGCAACACCCTTGATAAAAGTCTTTGCGACACCATGATAAACTTTGATACATGCTGACTAGAAAGAAATCAAATTAGTATATATTTAAAAAGATTTAATGTCCGAATAAACATATTCGTTACGAAAGAAGACTCCGGCACCGACAAGTATCGGTGAGGTGACCATGGCCCAGACTTGAATATATATATGTCCGTAAGCTCGATAAAATACGAGAAGCGATGAAAAATATCACTCAGGACTAAATCGGCCAGGGCATATATAACGCTGCTTCCAATAACATAATTAAGTGGCCATTTTTGCCATAGTCAGGAGTTTATATACACATGCCGAAATTACGCATTGTACATACAGAGATAAGAAGGATAATAAAAATGCATTTCAGTGTGAGGGAGATGTAATAAACCAGTGATGGTTATCGAGAAGCGTCGTCTATGGGGGAGTTAACATTACATCACACCGAGAAAAAAGTCAAACATAAAAAACTAACAAAAGCCGAATATTAAGATATGTTTAGATACTCAATATAGGGCTAAATCCACGCTTGTCCATGGGGCATATTTTTCTGTACCATCCCATAGCAATTTATACCTGTCCCATCCCACGGGATACCCATTGGAATACAGCTCAATAAAGATTGTCAAATTTAGGTTTAGCGTCTACCTAATAGGACTACATGCCTGGCTAAACCCCTTTCCTTCGCGAGTCTTGAAATGAGTTCACGATGCCACGTTGTGTTTGTTTACATTGGTAGATCGCCACCGCTTATCGAAGGACCGAATATCCAATGTTCAGTGTACGTCTGTATGTTTGAGAGATCACCAGAATCAGCCCCACCACTCATTATATATAAATGAAGTAATCCACGTAAAAAAAGAAATTTGTTTTGTGCGGATAACAATGACAGGAGATTGAAGTGGATTTTAACCACTTACTATGAATAATTTTTGAAAGACGACAGAAATACTCATGCCCGCGTTGATGGCTGTCCAATCACTTATCAACAGTTTTAGTATTGGGTTTTAGAGTCTTAGTCCAGCAAATATCCATCAAAGGCAGAAAGTGAACATCTGACCCCGATGACCTCATGGACGTATTGTTGCCACCCAGTCTGTACCGAGAACGCTTTGCATTCAATTGGTTATGTTCTGTTGTACAAAACAAACACGCTCTTTCTTAACCGTATATGGTGGCTTTTGGTGTCGTTTGATTTAAACCTACATTTCGGCTCTACATTCAAACGGTTTTTACGTAATTTAAAATTCGTGAATCATGATTAATGAAGCGTGACATACTTATGCTGAGGGATGAAATATCATCCCTTTCAACTTCAGATCCGTGGCCAATGACCCCCCCCCCCCCCACCCCCTGTAGGGAGTAAAACTCCCCCTAAAATGTCACCATCCTCCCTCATTTTGAGGTGTTACCCCACACTTAATCGTGTATAAAATTTTATTTGAATATCCAGAAAGTGGCTTATATGGCGGTGCCGATATATACCAGTCGAATATAGACCACAACTTACAAATAGTTTTAGCACGGTTCCATTACATTTGAACCCACGTACATTTGAACCCATGACAATTGCACCTGTATGCTATTGCACCTATGGATTTTTTTTTGTTTCACGGATAGTTAAACCCATACTAACCCTAACTCATGGGTTTTAGCACCCGCATATAGATTGAACCCGTGGATATACGCATGGGTTCAAATGTACATGGGTTCAAATGTACGGTCACCTTTTAGCACTAATGACGAAATATCCACCACCCCCTCCCATCCAGTAAAATGAAAAGTTGGGGAATATAAGGCGAGTTGACACATACCGGACCGGTACCATTTTTTTAACACCACCCTTCAATCTGAAATCTGTACAATTTAAAGCTTATTTAGGGTTCCGCCCCCGATTCTGTAATGGGTTTTATATATTTTGTTTTTATCGATTATTTTATCGTCTTTTATGTTGAATATGGAGTCAAAATAATCCTATACAGTACTTATACGTGAGTATTTTAAAGATTAGACACGGTGGTTATTAAAGTATGCGCATATCGCCATACGTATATCGTCACTTTTTCGATGCTGTTCGATTTAAACCTGCATTTTGGCTCGATATTCAAACGGTCTTCCCATAAATTATGTTTACAACAGCACTCGGCACACGTATCACATTTCAAAATCATTGACCTACTTTTCTCCCGCCCCGCCGTTCCCATTCTCTCTGTTACGTAATGTCTTTTACGCCCGCTGATTGGCCGATTACCCACTCGCGGGAGATTTAGATATCGTAATCAGCTGATTCGCGGTAAACAAAGCGCATTTTCGTGATTATAAATCCCATATTGTAGCCTCTAGGTCATTTTTTCTCGCGCGGAAAATTAATTTTCGAATAATAAAGTACCGATTGGCGCTTGCTGGGCATCAGTCTTCATTGACATTCTTACGAACGACAGCCACTACCGTTTTAAGAGTTCTTATTTCAAGTTATTGAGCGATATTTGTCAAAGTTCCTTTTACCTGTTTAAGTTTATATTTCGCTGCCTATTTGAAAAATGTTGTCTTCGAGATCACAAAACGTGTCTTCTACTGAAAATGTCTCAAGAACCTTGAAAAATACGAAGATTTCTGATGAAAATATGGAGAATTCGGTAAGTACCATACATCCACATATTTTTGCATTTCTACAGTTCTAATTTTCAGAATTTAAGTTAGCTTCAATGACTGAATGACCGGACGTTCATTAGTTTGTTATCCAGAATTCAGTCTACTGCCCGACTGCTGTACTGACTGACTGACTGACAGTGACAGACAGATCTAGGCTTTAATCTCTAAGCTTGAAAATAGTTTACTGGTTTAGGGAATTTATATGCTCATTCAGTCATTGTCAGCAAGTCATGCTGCTGTATCCTCATGCTCCTGTCTTTCATTTCTGCATTTCACCACCATATTTAATATCCTGATATCTGCTATTGCAGTAATGCCAGAATACCCAGATGCCAGTAATGTCTAAATATTTGAATGTTGTCCAGTTTTCTGTCCCCCCCCCTATCAGCCCATGGACTGATGGATGCCGATGTACAGTACACTACTAACTACGGTCTGACTCTGTGACTGTACCTATACAGCCATATGGTACCGTACATCACTGTCTACTGGACTGACTGAGAAGCAGTATTACTGTATTACTGTATTAACTAATCCCACAATACACTGATACATTCAGACATTCCTACATTCATTACCTTACCTAATTTTGTTTTCAGTACAAAGTGATGGAAACCAAAATGCTTGCAAGAAACACTGGCAAAAGAATTCTGGGAGAAGTTCAGAATACAACAGCACTCACATTATCACCACAGAAGAATAAGGTAACTTGAAATTGTAATTTAAAAAAAAGTTCGAGTTATATTTTTGTGTTTTTGTGTATGCTCAAAGCAGCAAGGCCTTTAGTGTGGTTTCAAGCAAGGCTGAAAAGCTGGTTTAAAATCATAACACAGTAACAGCTCAAGCTCCAAGCTTCATTATTTTTCATCCCTCCACAGACTGACAGAGCTCAGGAGCTAGAGCTCAAACTTTACAGCAGTTTATTGAAATAACAGTGAATATATTTTAACAAATAGTTGCTGCCAGGCATGTTCATAGTAATTTGCTTTTGCTGTAGTTTGCTGTCACAGGATATGTAAATAAGAGATCTTGTAAATTTTGACAAATTACTTATCTTATGAAAAGGAAATCGCCGAAATATCTTAATTTTGAGATCAAGTTTGGACCCAAATGTCGTCAAATTTTTTAATCTTTGCCTGTGCTCTTGCTTTAATGGAATAACACAAGGATTGGGATTTGTTGAACATGATAGCCTTTCTACCTATTCCAGTGGTTAAAGTACCAAATTCCAGAGACGCATTCACTCTTATCATTGGCATACTGTTGCTGTATTGCTCAAAAACCAACGCCAAAAATAGATTTTACCATTTGCTGCTGATCTTGGTTAACAGTTATATTTTTTTTTTCAGTCGAAACAAGTGCAAAAACCAAAGGCTCGGGTGAGAAACTACATTTGGTTGTCTAGTTCTTTTGATTAACTGCAGTGCCTTAGTAGAACAACTGTTGTGGTTTTGTATTTATTTTGACAGAGTTTGTTTGAACTAGTCTAACTAGTCTTCTCACTCTGCATTCTTTTAGTTATGGTCATTTATGCAATAATTTTAGTTCTATTTTTATGTTGGGTTAAGTAGCAAGTCTAATATCCAATTTGTTGTTTGGGGCATTGATGTATATGGTGTCCACAAAGTCTTCAATTTTTTGATTTGCAAAGGCAATTTATAGATAAAATACATTGTTTTGGCCCTCACAGATGTATTAAATAAAGTATGCATAAACTAACTACTGATAAAAAACAAAACAAAACCTGGTTGAGATATTGGGTAGGCTACTTCATAACAAAATTGAAATTGTGAAAAGACTTTATGGGACACGGACACCCATATATTGAATTTGGCACGTGCAGATGTATTAAATGGAGTATAAATAAACAAGTACTGATAAAAAAAACAACAAAAAAATGTTTGAGATATTGAGAATTTACCGTACTTCATAACAAAATTGAAACTATGAAAAGACTTTATGGACACTTGCACAACTGTCTATATAAGGGATCATACTATACATATTTAATCTAATGTTTTTTGTTTTATATTTGTTGAAAAGGGTGCGTGCCGCACATTTGTGTTTTAGGCCAGTACGGTCTTGTGCATGCATCCCGTCTTGCATAACAATAATCGTTCGTTTATTTTTTATCACTATTACGAGACGAATAAACATACACACACCCATATATAGAATTTGTCACTTAAAACAAGAAACCATTTCTGTCCAAAAATATTAGATTAGTTTTCCTGGATCAGTCTAGTCGCACTGGTTCTCAACCAGTGGGCCATGGCCCATTGCTGGGCCATAGAGACATTTTCAAGTGGGCCACAAGTCAATCAAAAATTACTATGGTTATTGAAAAGTTTAGTTTCATTTGTGTCATTATAGTCAATTTTTTTATTGTAGTAGCAATGAGTGATGCTGCTGCTTTTCATTCTAATTATAAAGTGAAAGTATTTATTTATGTAAAAAGAGTCTTGTTTTTCTTGTTTTCCCTTGCATGAGAAAGTTAGTAGGCCACAGAGTTTGATGCAACATAAGTGGGCCACGAAAGAAAAAAAGGTTGAGGAACCACTCTAGTGATGTTTACAAAAAAAAATAAGATTTTGCAGTATAGGCATGGCAGGCAATTTGATATCACTGGTCATAGTGATGACGGTTTCCTGTCTTTTGCTCGTATGGGAACACTAAATCTCAAAATATAGCAAGGGGAACACCAATATTTACCAAGCCATATTGATCAGCTGCCGCCCTTATGTGAATATCGTGTTCCCATTGGGATTTATAACAATAGTAATATGCTTTTAAAAGTACGTTTTAATTTTTCAAAATGTCCATAGTAGACAATTTATTGTTTTACTAGTTATATTTTATTATAATTTACTAATAATTTTGACATAAAATTGCCGATGCAAACCGAAAATTTTCAAGGGGAACACTGAAGTTCTGTTTTGTATTTGTGATGCATTTTATATTGAGTGTAGGTGGCGTAACGTCATCTCTCGGTCATCTCTCGACTCGTTAATGTGTTGTTACATAACAGTGCAGCAGGAGAGAGAAAAAAATATTTAAAAAAATAATGGTGGATATGTAGTAGGCTGGGAAGTATATAAGCTGATGTTTTAAACAGTGGTACCATACAAAAATAGTCGGTACAAAATGGGAGTACCTGTAGAATTGATTTCTGGAATGGAAAAGACTAGTGTAAGCATAGGCACACAGACCAACTTTGTATGCTGCTGTGCTTGCCGAAATAATGGGAAAATTAAAAAGATTGAAAAAATTAAGGAATATACATGTCATAAGGTATAAATAATGAGGTAGTTATACTGTTGTCAACTTAGGTTGGTAATTGCGCTCCTTTTTTCTGTTTGTTTGGTATGCTAACTGCTACAATTATTCGGATTGTGCTTATTGGGCGGTTATTCTACTCATCAAGGGGTAACATAGAAACCCTGTGCTCCTATCTCGTTTTACATTAGGATTAGTTGGCTGTTCCCCCATCTTTTGAATTCGCCAACTACCACGATTTTTCTGTCTCTACTTACTGGGTTTAAATTTGGAAATGGGTTTAAATTGGAAAACATAGGTTATATCACATATGAAAATGATCAGAAACGTGGGACAATAGCCTTGTTTGACACAATATTAACCCAGTGTTTGTGGTGGTACTACACACCCAACTTGGACTGGTAACTGGACGCGAGGCCATGGTTCACCATATGATTAAGCCGTCTTATCGGCTTTTCTCTACCCTGGGATAAATATGTAGATCCTTCTTTCTCTCTACAGTTTGACAAAGAGAAGGAGCCTTTACTTCGTGACAACCCTCGCCGTTTTGTTATCTTTCCAATCGAATACCATGACATCTGGAAAATGTACAAGAAAGCTGAAGCATCATTCTGGACAGCTGAAGAGGTAGGCCTAGCTGTCATAGCATTAATAATGGCGCAATTGTAAAGATTCTGGCCATTTAAAGCAGGGGTTCTCTAACTTCTGGTTGGTTACAGGGCCTGTGAAGAGGTAGAATATTTAAGGAAACCCCATAATAAATACATAAAAAAAAACATTTGAGTTAATCACTTTTGATTGAAAACTCTATTTGCTGCTTTGTATTTTGAAAATCAGTATTTCAGTGAGTGAACGAATAGCTTTCGGGGCCCCAAGGTTTCCCTCCTGGAGCCCTGAGGCTTCTTATGGGGCACATTGAGAACCTGAGAGTACTAATTGCTTCAGAGCAAAATATACGAGTAAGCTCGGAATACAAACAAATCTGTTGCCAAGATTATCAAGATAAGATCACATTTTCCTTTATTATTGGCCTACTTATGCTAGTTAACTATTTGGTTGTGACACTTTAATTCACTCTTATGTTTTTCTGCATTTTATATTTAAATAGTCTTGTAGGCTTAATCCTAAACAATTATTATTGCAGGTTGACCTTTCCAAAGACATGGTTCACTGGGCAGGTTTGAAACCAAATGAAAGGAAATTCATTTCTCATGTTCTGGCTTTCTTCGCCGCTTCAGATGGAATTGTCAATGAGAATTTGGTGAGATGTAGCTGCTTAGCCCAAACTATTGGCTATTAGTCTTTAAAACCAAGCCTATCTCTACTGCTATGTATCATTCAAAAAAACTAATTTTTATTGGGTGTGCAAAGGCCTACTAGGGAAAATTGTGGGGCTTGCGGAAATGTCCTAATTTTGAATGGCGGTACGGCCTGCGAACTAGTTTTTGGATTCCTTCTAAACTTGAGCGAAGCGAACAAAACATGTCCTAAGATCAATAGCAATTTTTTTTCCTGGGACTGTTAGAAAAAAGGGTCGGCCTATAGTTTCATAAAGTTTTTGTATCTGGCCCTTCTGGTATTGAAGGTTCATCCAATGTAAATCAGCATTAGAATCGTTTGACAAGGCGTGATTTTTTTTATATTGATTTAACAAACTAAATCCTTATTTTCTTGTTTTCAGGTTGAGAGATTTGCACAAGAAGTCCAGGTCACTGAAGCAAGATTTTTCTACGGATTCCAAATAGCGATTGAAAATATTCATTCTGAAATGTATTCTTTATTGATCAACACTTATATCAGAGATCCTAAAGAAAGGTAGGTGGAAATCAATTTCATTATTTGGATTTTTGATTTCTGTTATTGTCTAAGATGTCCGGAATAGGTATTCCTGAAGTATGCGCACCAAGATGTCGTCAGAAGTGTGCGCAGAAGTCGTCAGGAATAGGTATTCCTGAAGTATGCGCACCAAGATGTCGTCAGAAGTGTGCGCAGAAGTCGTCAGGAATAGGTATGCCCTGGAGTATGCGCACCAAGATGTCGTCCGAAGTGTGCGCAGATGTTGTCAGGGATAGGTATGCCCTGGAGTATGCGCACCAAGATGTCGTCCGAAGTGTGCGCAGATGTCGTCAGGGATAGGTATGCCCTGAAGTAGGAGCACCAAGATGTCGTCCGAAGTGTACGCACGGAATAGGTATTCTTGGTGTCGCATAACCTGAACCCTAACCTGAGTTCAGGTTGTGCACCATCTTGGTGCGCATACTTCAGGGAGGTCCCGTCTGCGAATATATCCATCTGCAATTTCCTCAGAAATGAGCCTTAAATGAAGATCGGGTTAAATATTGTTGTTTGGACAGTATCTTATGTAAATTTTCTTGGTGTTTTCCGCAGATGAATTTTCCCTAGTACCATCGAAGATATGCATGGCTCGCATCATAATAAAAGCATTCATAATATTTTACTAAAACATCGTTTTTACCCTTAACAAATATGAACCAAGCAATGACTAAAAAAGTTAGCATGTTGGAATGCCAAAATGTCAGCCTGTCGGATGCTGTTCCTGGTTTAACTTTCCAGAATCAACTTATAGCCCAACCATTTGTGACGCTGGCTAATCTTAATAAACGTGTCTCTCACTTACCGTCAAAAAAGTGCTCAATTAATTGTCAGCTTTTTTTTTAATCTTCTCTCCTTGTTATTTTGTTACAGAAACTACCTTTTTAATGCAATTGAAACTATGCCTTGCGTTCGTGAGAAAGCTGACTGGGCTTTGAATTGGATCAACGACCAAAATTCAACGTTTGGTGAACGTGTCATCGCTTTCGCTTCCGTCGAAGGAATATTCTTCAGTGGTTCCTTTGCTGCCATCTTCTGGCTGAAGAAACGAGGACTTATGCCTGGATTAACATTCTCTAATGAACTAATTAGCAGAGATGAGGTTTGTTGAATACTTTTCTTATTTTGGAGAAACCATAAACAGAATTGATTTTCAAATTCAAAGGAAACTAAGTATAAGTTTATTTTGCCTCCATAATCAGCATATAGGACTAAAAAATTGATCAAAACAATAAAAAAACTGATTACAGTATCAGTAAGGCAAACTAAACCTTGAGATTTAAATGTAATGTGATTGTTGCAAAGTAATACACTCTAGCAAGGTTTTGTTTTGTATTAATATGTATTAAATGTGTGAGTCTACATTTATCAAACGAAAACCATGAAACTCTTGAACACACTGAAATTTCATTAATAATATAATTATTTTAGATGCATTTGATTTCCGAACTTTGGAAATTCATCAATTTGCCTCATTGTCTTTTCTTCATTGCTAATTCATGAGCTCTCGAGCAGCAGTCATGATAAATTTCCTACTGAAACTCCATAAATCCTAATATCAAGAATTTAATTAAATATAATTATTTTAAAACCGTATAAATATTAGATTTAGAGTTTTTAAAGAGTTCAGCACTTTGCCAATATTTATTTTAGATCTATTATATAATTTTAGATCCATTCAAATTCGATTTTGGAAGTTCCAAGTCTTATCACTTCCTTTCATATTCAATCAGTTTTTCCTTCATTACTACCGTAATTCATATTCTCAGGGCCTACACTGTGATTTTGCTTGCCTCATGTACAAACATCTCGTCCAGAAGCCAAGTCAGGAACGAGTCACCATGATTATTAAAGATGCCGTGGCTATTGAACAGGTATGAAAATATGTGCTTAATAAATAGTCTGTCTCTTTTTAATATACTCGTATCTGAAAATTTCGGCTGAAATGCCACGCACTTCCTCGGCCGGGTAATGATTAATAGCTAATTAAGATTGTTTATTATGACGTTATGGTTCCTTTCATATATATTCAAAACTATAAAAGTGATTTTATAAAAGTAAACTTCAAAAGTGAGGCTAATGATCCAAAATAAAGAATCTGGTGCGGTTCAAATCAAATACTCAAAAGGTCCGGGTTAGGACCGCGGTCCGCCAGTTGAGAAGCCCTGCTTTATATGGCTGTTGCCCGGAACGGGTTTCTGAACGACCGTTCAATGCTTGATATTGAGCTAATATATTTTGGAAGGGTCCAGATGGGCTTTTCTGGTCACTCGAAAATAAGAAATATCGGCCGGGAATGCTATAGTACTCCCAGGCGAGCTTTTGTAGTGTAAAATTGTGAGATTGATCTTGTTAGACTTAAGCTTATCCAATGTTTGACTTCATTTTTCTCATAGTTGAAGAAATTGGTAGATCATAGTAGGTCGTTAAACTCTTGGACCTCCAGAAGTGTGTGCACCAAGATGGCGCACAACCTGAACATAGTAGTTGTACCAGCTCAGGGTTCAGGTTGTGCGCCATCTTGGTGCACATACTTCGGGAGCGCCTCAATTTAACCTAGCACATGAGGGATTATTTAACACTCGATACAAGTACAAAAAATGTTATTTTCAGAAATTCTTGACGGAAGCTCTCCCAGTTGCACTTATTGGAATGAATAACACCCTCATGAAGCAATACATTGAATTTGTTGCCGATAGACTGCTGGTTGCATTGGAATGTCCTAAGGTAAGCAATATCTTAAAGCAGCTTAAAAAAGATTAGTTTGCATAGTCAATGGCCTAAACCTCATGATGGCCAAATTATCAGACATAAGTCTGAGTGTGTCCAATTTATTAATAGACTCTAAAAAAAATCTGGTATCGTCAATGGCCTAAACCTTGCGTGGACTAAAAAAAAATAGTGTTGAATGTATTTGTAGGACAAAAAATGCAAGTTTATTCAGGTGGACTGCACGTTATTCCCAAAATGTCTGAATTTGGAATAAGTCTATTTTGTCAAATTTAGATAATTTAAAGGTGCATCCCGGTGTTTGTGATCTCTGGGTGTGCCCAACAATGGCCCTACTTTTCAACACCTTTGCTTAAAACCTAGCACCCCCTACTTTCTCAGTAACTAATCATCTCCTTATTTTTCAGGTTTACAATGTTGAAAATCCATTCGATTTCATGGAGCTCATTTCACTAGAAGGAAAGACAAATTTCTTCGAGAAAAGAGTTGGCGAATACCAGAAGGCCGGCGTAATGTCTAATTCAGAGGATATGAAATTTACTTTAGAGGCAGATTTTTAGATTTTAGAAAATTATTTTCATTTTATCATAAAATGTTGCTTTTAATGTTTTAGTATTGAAATGCAATTCATGTTTTTAGCTGCTGTAAGCTAATTTTATTTTAATATTCAAATGGGTTTTTAAAGTGAATTGCTAATTTCTGGTCATTGCTACTGCCACTGCATAAGTATCCCAAACAGCTTGGGAAGTACCAAAATTTGAAAAAAGTCTCCTGGAGAACGTTTACTCCCAAACGTTCATCAAGATTCCCTGTTATTCAAGTTCGGGATACCCCCAATATTAACAACACTGAAGTTTGGGGTTCCTGGAGTAATTGGACTTTGTGGCTTTTGAAATGTACCAAGGCAGATTTCAAATCTTGTGTGTTGGTATTTTGCCGACCAGGCGAAACTAATTCAAACCTATCCAAGAACTATTAATAACATGATTACCATGAAGATACCTCTTAAATACTGCCCATCTCTCTCAAAATATAGATACTTTAGTAGCGTTTTGGAATAGCAGCAACTTTTAAAACTTGTCTTTATCTAATGTTTCTTTTTTATTCTGTTCTTTTTATTGTTCTGTTTCTGTTTTTATTATTTATGCTTTCAAGTATTGTGCACAAGTAATATAACGAATTATGAAAGTATTTAAGTCTTGAGTGAATTTAAATCAGTTGAAATGGACCTCTTGAAGTATGCGCACCAAGGTGGCGTACAACCTGAACTCTGTTTGTGTGTCAGGTTAGGTTTCAGGTTGTGAGACCTCTTGGTGGACATACTTCAGGAATACCTAATATGAGAATGGGACTTTTGGAGCAATCGATAAAACCATTTTATCGTGTGGGCTTGTCAGCTCTGGCGCTGAATTCTCTTATTTATTGTGTGGTGGTGCAGGTATTGCTGCAATGTTGCCGCTTCCATGTCAGCCCAGAGACTCGACAGTCTGTTACCTTGACTAGAATTGTGTTTCTGCTTCAAGGGGTGCGGTGGTCTGCCATATTCGAATAATTGTTTGTGTGTGGTGGATTGACTGAAGTACCTGTATTGAGAATCTAACGATAGCTGAGTTCTTAAGTTCAATTGGCTGTGGCGTATCTAGGGTGTGGCAGCCATGGCTCGCCGCTTGGATAGGGGTGCAGAAACGACGAAATATCTCAATTGTACAATGTTTCAATGAAATAATGAAACTCGTATTTATACGTAACGTAAGAGTATCTCAATAACAGTCGTTAAAAATTGTTAATCAACGATCAAGCATTTTCAAACTTTGCCATGGGCGCCATTTTACGTAGATACACCACTGTTAACTGGTGTGGTTGCATGAGTCTTGTCGTTAGATTCTTTCGAATTTTCGATAAATTATGATTCCTAAAGATTAGAATTAATCATTTTGGTACTTAAGACATGTAACCTCTCCATATAGGATTTACAAATTTATTTTTGGGGAGAGAAAGATAATAATAATACGCCTTAATCGTGGCAAACCACGACTTGGTTACCAGTCTATGTCGGGTATGGGGTTAGTTTGTATAAGTATAAGTATATTTTGACTCCATAATCAGCGGTAGACGATTAAATATTAGACAAAGACAAATAAGAAGAAAATAACTGATTATAGAATCGGGAGAGCAAACAAAACCTCAAGTAAGGTTTGAAGCGTAAATATTTTAGTCGGAAAGGTATTGATAAATGAAGGAGTACGTGTTCACTCACCCAAAAGTATAAAAAGAAATTAAAGCACGCACACACTCATAGAGTCATGATAAGGTTGGAAGTAATAAAGCGAGACCTAAAATCAATTAAATTGCTTAATTACTTAGTTATTAAATTACTTACTTAATTACCTAAATTTGCCCGTTGTTTGTTTTCAGATGCATGGACTTGATTAATATTTAAGGATCTAAATGGATGAAATAGCCGCAACCAATCAGCTGTTTGTAATAATGAGCAGATTATTGTGTAATTGTTCAATCAAGAGATTAGCCCTAAGTAGGCTTACCATATGTCCCGTTTAAGGACGGAACATTTCACGCAAAATTCACTTTTTAGAAACAAAATAATTTATAATTTTATTGAAAAAATGGTCAGGTTCAACAAAAAAATATTTCGGACTCGTAGAATAGTTTATTCTCGATTAAAATTGATTTCAAGATGTTCGGAATGGAACGTGTTAAACAAATTCGATGTCCAATCACCATTTATTAACAAAGACTTTAGTCATTTAAATGAAATAACTCGTCATCAACTAACCACCAATCACTGCAATTAGACTTGAATTAGTGATTGACTCGATTTGACATTCAGGGACTCTGTCTAACACTGGAAAAAGTTGTTTGAATACTGTTCGGTGGTTCGGTGCATTGTACTAAGCAGTTGAAATATGCTCACCACCGCAACCCTGATTCCCCTGTGTGGGTTTCAGGTTCACAAAATGTGAGGGATAATTATTTGCATGATTATTGCTGCACTCCTTGGTTCACGTAACCCCGGGTCGGTTACGACTTCCTTAACCACAAGTCCATGCTTCCGAAAACAAATAACTAACTAATCCCATACCCGACATGGAATGGTAACCAGATGATAGGTCATGGTTCGCCATATGGTTAAACCGTCTCCCCTACATTTGACATTTCAAAACATGTTTGTTGGACTCATAATGACGCTTTATATTGTATTGCTTCAGAACTGGAATAGTTCGTGGGCAAAGTGGACAAACCGCTGAAGTTTTAAACGCTGACATTTATCCAAGAAATGTCTGTTATCGAAGTCTAGTTGATAACTAACTTTCTGCCGTATGTAATCCTAATACCGGTACGTATGATTGAGATACCGATATACCGTAATCGAATTGTTACCATGAACACAAACTTAAACTGTGGTAATGACATAACAATCGGCGGTTTCTAGATTGCAAGAAGGTAGAAACAAAATATGTTTTACTATTTCACTTAAGCTCGGTGGGCCATTTCAAATTGTTACGTGGGCCGGATTTGGGAACCCCTGATCTAGGGTGATAGACCAGCGGTTAAAGCGTAAGATTTACCTGAGTGTTAGCACAACACTAGGATTTAAATTCCCACCCATTCTGGCCCTTCCATATAAACAGAAACTCCTCACACATCGCTAGATATTGGTGACTGCTTTCCATACCTACATTGAAACACGGACATCACACTCCACATTTTAATATAGAAGTATCTACAGGCAAATAGTATTTGAAAGAACAGTGATATTTACAATAGTAGTACATTATTGAAAGCAGCGTGGTTGATCTGCAAAGAGAACTGAGCAGGCTGGAACAAAGTTGATAACGTAGATTGGCCATTGGGGACCAACTTTCTCGCCTAACACACCTCCATCAGTGAAATTTGCACTTTAAGGCTAAAGGCTAGTAAGCCCTTACGAGAGTAAAATTGAATAAAAAATGTGGAGCCACAGTAAATACTGATGAAAAGTAATAAATGAAATAGCATGGCACGATTTTTGAATCTTGTCGAAAAGTGTGATCAAAACCAAAAGCTCTATAAGAAAAATGCACTAAACAATAACCTACAAGAGTAAATTGTTGGCAAATATGTGGAAAATATTGAGCAGGCTTATTTTCATAAGCAATATAATCCCATTTCTATTTTGAATCGCCTCCTTCGTCGAGATATGGATATATGGTTGCAAATATCATTTGAATGAACTTTCAACACATTAACCTGGGTGGCATAAATTGGGTAAGTTGAACCCCCCAATCTGAATCAGGTTCAAGCAATCAATATTTGTCATGTGAGTGCGCACCCCACTTTACAAATTTATAGGTTATGAAGATTGTAACATCATTATTGGATGTCCCTCTACCCCAGTGGTTCTAAAACTTTTTGAAAAAGATTCTATGACGAACCCCTTGCAATTTTTTTAATGATTCCCGGCCTCATGCACTGAAACAAAACGATAAAAGATCACAACAGAAAATTAATGCGCTGTATAGTGAAACGAATAAAAGAATTCAAAGCGCAACTTAATGACATGTGCGACATCCGGTCTGTTTCGATATTTGGTAAAAGGGCAGCGTCAGCTACAGTTCTGCAGTTAGTAAACTTGTGGTGGCATGAATTGAACTCTCTCTGTGATATCTCAAGCCAACAGCTCTGTGACATCACAATGGGGCAGTGTGATCGAAACAGAAAGTGAAGAATCAGTGTCTCCAGCATGATTGCGAAGCAGCAAAAAGCGACAAAAGTGTATTTGCAAATTTAAGCACTTAATTTTTGTATCATCAAGCTAATAGCCATATTACAGATTTGTTTTGCGGACCCTAAAAGGGGCGCAGACACTAGTTTGGGAACCACTGCTCTACCAACTCTTCCACGGCCACACCCCGATTGACTGGAAATCTATGTATCGTTACGAGCACATAATAACATGATCAGGGGTAACGTCTCAAAGATGATAAAGCCAGATAGAGTATTGAGGATCGAGACGTTTTAATACACAGTAACCTGGGTGGCATAAATTGGGTAAGCTAAACTCCCCAATTAGATTCCTTTCGAAAATGTGGAAAAAAATAGTAATAGGGCAAATCGATCTGAATGTATGCAATATCGCATCAATAGTAAATTGCCTGGGGAGACATTGTTTCTTCTCACAAATATTAACATGTTTTTGCGAGTCACACAGAAAAAATGGCAATAAAAGTGGGTCACAAACTGAAAAGCACTGCACACTGCTATTTTAAAATGTAAAGCACAGACGAAGTCTTACAGATACATGAGGGTATAAGAAATTCATTGGGTTGATAGAAAAAAAAGCCCTAAGGCCCTGTATATCTACGTGATTGCCTATACAAAAAGAGCAATAAAAAAGGGTACTCCCGTAGTATGTGTACCAGGTTAGGGCATAATTATTTTCAGATTTTCCTTATTTTAGTTTTATAATGAGTTCGGGGACTGTCTATGTTAGTCGATGAAATATTTCCCCTGCCCATAGGTTTCAGTCCCTTTACACAACTTGATGTAAAGTAGGCAAACAAAATTAGTTACCTCCATATTGGTACACATACTTATGGAACGCCAAAAAACTACTAAAAGCTGACAGTTTGTATATAATTTTCAGGCAAGTTATGAAATAATAACCATTTCACCCAGGTTGTCATAAATTTAGCAGGCTATACTGCAGTACAAATCATGTCCAAGATCTCAAAACTCGGAAAAAATAACTCGAAGTATTTGTCAGTTCAGAATGCATGCTCTAGTGATTGAGTTTAACAAGCAAAGCATAGAAACAGAATTACAGATGTGGGTGAGAGTATATCATGTACATATAAGTAATCGCCTGTTCTCAAAAATAGGAAAAAATAACATGATTCGAGAATTGATTTGCAGGTTCAGAATGCACACTAGCTATTCAATTTAAGATGCAAAGAACAAACCCAGTATACAAAGAAGAAAAATGAAAAAAAACTTTGTATATGAAAATTTTCAGACAAGCAATAAAATAATTATCAGTCAGTCCACAGTTAAATGACCTTGGCACTGGAAAGGCATGGGATGTGTACGTCTGAAAAAGATGGTGACCTTTGACATTGAAGCTTTTTGCCTCATAGAATCTTTACTCTGGTATCGCAGGAAACTTCTTGGTTTGTTGTTTTCATTTTTTTCATAAGAGATGAGGGGGCCATAAGTGTTGAGAGCCCTTTGAAAGGGTCCGCAGATATCAAAAGCTTGCCAGCCACTGTTCCTGGCCATCATGCATTTTTGATCTGTTACATCTACATTGTCCTTCTTATAACACCACCCAGTGCTCATTGTCGATGGTACAGCAGAAAACTTATTAGTTTCGTAGGGAGGGGGAGTTTTCGTATCGCTATTGTAAAAGGTGTTTCCGCGAGGGGTTTGTAAAACTCATCAGAATCTGTGTCCGAATCTGATTTCAACTCATCGTCTTGGTCATTGTCAACTCGTCGACGATGAACTGGGGAATCCTGTAGAAAGTAGATAAATTAGGTAAATATAAATAAGGGTTATACAGGTAGTATGTGTACCAGGTTAGGGTTTGGCCATAATTTTATTCCGATGTTCCTTATTTTGGTTCTATTACGAGTTTGGGGACTGTCTGTGTTAGCCAAGTGAATATACGCCCTGCCCATAGGCTACCTATTACACTACCCTTTACACAACCTGATGTAAAATAAGCGAACAAAATCAGTTACCTCCATATCGGTACACATACTTCTGGAGCGCCTAAATAAGACCCACATGTGTGTGAATGATACTAGGAATCGCTGACAAAACAAAATAATGGAATATTCAAATCGAATTGCTACCTATACATTTCATCACACCATTTGACCTTGTTCTGACTAAGTTTGACCTTGGTAAAAGTCATCTAATAGAATATGTTACTCAAAGTTAATCCTTTGTACTAATGCTTTGTACTAATTTTACCTTAATTCGCATAAATTCGAAAAAAAATTTAGCATATAACACTTACAGGATCGTTCAGCATTTCATTCAAAGTTCTAGCCGTACTTTCTGCCCGTTCATCAGAATTTTGTTCTCTGATTCGCCGTAAACCTCTCATCAAAGCGTAAGCGAACCTGCTTGGACGTAAAGGTCGAACAACACGTCGTTCTGATGACTGATCTTGACCAACTGCTGTATAAGAACAAATTGAAAAGTGTTGAGATTGACTGTGTTGAATATCTTATCTTAAAAATTTATCCCCCATTTGAACTGATGTTTCATCGTAAGGATCAGATAAAAAAAACTCGATGGACATGAACTCTGATCTGGGTAGAAAAATGAAGCCCTGGAGATTGGGATATAAAACCATCAACCCAGCCCTGGTGCGATACCAAATTTTATGCACCATAAGGCACACTTTAAAACCTATTTTTTCCTCAAAAATCGATCGTGCATCTAATTCATGAATCAAGTAGTGTTTCATGCATTATATGTCCACACTCAAAACCATTACCAATACTATTAATTGATTCCTAGAAACAGTTGTGCCTTACAGCTCATTGCACCTCATGTATGGATAATAACCCAAACTAACAAATTTATTGACAGTAGACTCATGGTCCATAATATACGCTAATTATCAACGGGGAAACCCCATGACAAGACAAACAAAACCAACCTTCTTCCGTCTCTCGTTGTGTCTCTGCGTTTTCTTCAGTTGTCTCCGTTTTACTGAAAATATTAGTTTCATAGGATTCAATGAAATTAAAAAAAAAGACGCTATAAATTCTTGCAATATTTGAAAAACAACAGTTTAGCAAAATATTAAATGGGGCAATAATATATACAAACCTGTAGTGCTGGAAAAAAAATCATAAAAGAAATTATATTTCAGCGATCTATTGCATATCTCAGTTAATGAAATTAAGATTAAATAAAACATTATTTGTTAAAAAAAATTTTAAAACGTGTCATAGGTAAACTTCGTAATGATTGCCCAAAAAATTATTTATATGGTTGTCTTTCATTTGCAAGCACAATGACAAAACAATTTAGGAATACAATTCACAAGTCCATTTATGTTTGATAAATAGTACAACGCATTATGCACAAGATATCAGGCCCCACAGAGCGCAAAAAACAGTGAAAAATAAAAGTAATAGGTCATGCTTATCATGTTTAAGTACAAAAAATTCAAAATTGATTTGTTCGTAAGTTACGGAAACTAGAATTCGGTTGGAAACCGAAGACTTATCGATCGAAGGTTAGGGGATCCCCCAAAACAGTGGTCTTACTCCATAGTGACATCATGTGTCCCATCACTAATTAATCAATAACTCGCTAATTATACGACATAATCCATCCAAAATCAATAGGCTTCTGATCCGAGCTAAGATGAATGCACATGCAAAATTTGGAGCAGATTGAACCTCGCTTTCGTGAGATATCGCGTGCATCTAACACACAGACAAACAGACAGACAAATACCTATCAACATACTTACCGATCAAGATCGATAAGTAACAACAAGCTAGCGTTGAAGTGATTTTTTTCACAATAACAATTAAGAAAACAATGCAGTGGCAGTAGTTTTTGGAATATGTCATGTCTCGCACCCACCTCAATAACTACCGGTAGCTAACAATAAGCTACAAATAACGGATAGTAAGGGAAAGTAAGTTTCGTTTAAAAAACACATGGATGGAACCAATGTTCCCTCTAATTTTTTGTAGTATGTGTGCTCAGAAATTTTGTTGTGTGCGCACTTTTTTGGAAATGACTAATATTTGTGCAAAAACCAATGAAGAAATTTTGGCGTTCTAACCGGGTAATAAGTGGGCCAACAACAAACTTTCTCAACCTGCCAACCGAGCACATTGTTACATTACATCGAAATACGTCTGTGCGCAGTAAATCTATGCGTGCGCGCAGCCTCAGAGGGCACACTGGATGGAACGTAAATAAACAAAATAAGACGGGCAAGATCAAATATTTTCATTTTTTTCACGTCCTATCATGAAAAAATTGGCTACGCCCCCTTGTGAGGCGCGTCCCCCCCCGTTTGAGATATTACTTCAAAATCAAAAAAGAATGCACTATGCAATTTTTTTACCTCCCACTTGGGGCATCCCCTCGACTTTTCTCATCATTTGTGTTGTTATTAGACCTTGAACGTAGCAATCTGAATCGATACCGTTTCATTTGACGGGCTGAAGAGCCTAAACAAGAGATTAGTTCAAAAAATGGTTACTACGAGAGTAAGCTGCAGAGTTCGGCATGCCTTCAGTAAAGCCGGGGTTAAAGGTCAAAATGCTGAAGTTGGAAATTAGATTTCAATACTTTCCAACATGGTGGCAAAGCAACAGGGGCGCAACCAGAAATTTTCAAAGGGGGGGAGTTCTGAAATTTTTTTTGGCCAAGTTAAATCGAAACAGCTAGCGGGGCTGATCGAACGCTAGAATACGCGTGTTTTTAGTAGTCTTGGGGGTACATTTCAAAAGGGGGGGGGGGGGGGGGGGTTTCGACACGCAAAACCTACATTTCAAAAGGGGGGGGGGGGTTTCGGCCCGCAAAACCACCCCCTGGCTACGCCACTGTAAAGCAAGTCAAACAAATGGTTATTGTGTGAATTTGGTGTGTGTTTCCGCTGGAGTCAGAGAGGTATTTTATAACTCCTCAGAGTCGAGATTCTGAATTTTCCGGAGCCAGATTTACACACTTCCAAAGGTGATAAAGGCGTAGTTCTCAAATTTTAGAAGCAGCGCCTCATTTTTAGAATCTGTCACGTCTCGCGCTCCACCTTAGAAATAACTAGCTCACAATAAGATACAACTAGGGTAAGGCGAAAGTATGTTTCATTTAAAAAACATGTTGAAAATACGTGAAAGAAAATAAATAATGAAATAAATGAAAAGTTTTCAAAACAAGCAAATTGTGCGATAAATCTATCTAACACTTTTATTTTCAACTAGCTTCACAACCTCCAAAAATTGTGACACACCCCCTTCCTTTGTGGCCCCGCCCCTATGTTTGAGAACTGTGATAAAGAAAAGCAAAATTTTGTCCAACTATTGAAGAAGCATTGAGTTTACTGAGCGATTTTAACAGTTTATCAAAGATGGCTGGCGTATACAGGTTTTTGTTTTGGCAAAATTTCATGTTCTCGGTGCTGGACTAAGAGGTGAAACAACCAGGAGTCAGAGACAAGTTTTTTTATAACCTCAGTCAGAATGTAAATTTTTCCCTATTTCACAACCCTGTTTTTGAGAAAAACAACCCAATAATGTAAACCGAAGCCTAGAGACTCCAAAACCAAAGAAAGAACCAAACAATATATGGTTTCGATTAATTCCCTTTGCAATTCAAAAAAATTTTAGGACTTTATGGAAACCCTATATTGAAGACAAACCTTTAGAGCTTCCTTCTCCATCTTTATTTTTGTTCTCTTGCTTCTTGTCTTGTGTATCGTTTGATTTTGATGAACCTTCTAGGAAAACAAAGATGGAATTTATTGCCTCGTCCACAAAAACAAAACATATATGAAATAAAGATTCACAGCCTTCAGTACATGACTGGGTAGTGTTAAATTAACAGGTTCAACAGTTTTAGCTCTCATAACTAAGAATTATACACTGTATTTTTACGGATTATAAGCATTGTCAATAAATTGCGGACCGCGTAATGATTCAATATGCCCGCCGAACTTCAGTGAAATAGTTTAACACTTTGTTTTTGCCTTTTTGCGTTCTAACTACATCCGATTGTTACGTCATTATCAGTTCAAGTACGGGTGTATCTCAAGCACGTAACGATCTCTTCCACATGATTTGCATATTTAGTACTCCTTCGTTTTTGTGTACGACTTTATCACAGATCAGTCGATCGCGACTTATTTTGAAGATTTTAGTCAATCACAGTCGAAAGCACATTGGCCACCTCTGATATACTAATCATTTTACAAGGTCAAGTCCTTCTAATTTAGGTCCCCAGCTAATAAACTTCGGAAACCACCAGTCTAAAGCAAAAGTACACCACATCTTACCTTTATCATTTTCCGGGTCACTCAATGTGATATCATTTGTGTCATCTGCTAGTTCTGTTGTTGATTCCGGTCTACATATTTTGTCCAATATATCAGGGTCGCCAGATTCTTCCATGTGTTGACAAACATCTGAAAACAAAGAAAAAGGTAGTATACAATTAAACAAGAGAGCTGTGCTCAAATATATGGACATGTCACAAGATGTCGCTATTTTTTATTCTGACACATAAAAAACGAATCTCCTGAAGTCCACAGAGATTTTTGAAATAAGTAAAAGTAAAAAATCAATCTTCAACCACTGAAAATTTCAAAGCAATTGGTCCAGTATTCGAAGAGAAAAGTGATTTCATCATAACGAAAGAGAAGACTAACAAGAACAACAACATAATATTGAAACGATCGTTATGTTCACTAACGTGTCCAAAAACATTTTCTACTTGTATGACTGACTATTTAAGCAGTTCAGAAGTCGAACAAAGAGCCTTTTTCTATCCCAGTAACAGTTTAGGATCAAAACTATCCACAGGTACACTTCAAGTCACAAAAAGGGCGCTCTGGAAGTATGTCTACCAAGATGACACACAACCTGAACCCTAACCTGGTACACATACTATGTTCAGGTTGTGCGCCATCTTGGTACACATACTTCGGGAGCACACACAAAAGAGAAGACCCAAAAAAAATTGCAAACCAATAAATTTAGACTCAATAACTACTGAAAAGTTAGTATGCGGTTCAGATGTCAAGCAACAATTTTCAATTGAAACGATCCACATATATACCCGAAGTCACAAAATGTGGGAAATTTATGTCAGCCTATTGCAGCGTTTTAAGAAATAAATTTCAAATGAAAGAGTCCTACATCGGAATTTGAAACCAAACAAAATCAATTGACCTCCGAGAGAAACTTCCATCTTTGGGACTTCCTGAAGTATGCGCACCAAGATGGCGCACAACCTGAACTCAGGTTGTGTAGCAGGTTAGGGTTCAGGTTATGTGACATCTTGATGCGCATACTTCAGGAGTACCCATCTTTTGACTACTGGAAGGTTTCATCTTTTTTGTCCAGTAGCTGGAGAGAAAAGGGATTATCTTATTTATCTCACCTAAAACACGTTACTTTTCATATTACATTTTGATTGAAAATTGGTATAGATTTTTTACACTTTTTTCTCAGTTCAGACCAAGACGATATGGTACTTGCTATGCTTTACCTTATATTTATTATTGGAGCATAACATGCGCCCTTAATTTTTGATTGAACATCAGTACAGAATTTTGCGTTTTATACCAAAATAAATACGGTAAATATCCCACTTTATTTCAAACGAAAAAGTTGCAAGTCATAGAGTTTTTGGACTTTCTAAAAACAGTAGATATTCAGGTATTAGCAGCTGCTCTTCCAGAGCCTTATATAAAGTGAACAACATGTAAAACATTGAATATAATAAAATTATTAAACTACCATCATCTATTTCATCATCTGATGAGTCATCATTTTCTTCTGACGATGAGTCAGCATGATCGCTATCTCCTGATGTATTCACTCTTCGGCGCCGCCTAGTGCCACTCTCTCCTGTTGTATTTAAACGTCGTCTTCTTACTCGACGAGCTTGGTGTCGCCTAGCAACAATATGTTCTTCGATTCCTAGAAAATTAAAGTTGGATTTAGTAAATCTATCGAGGTATCTATCGAGACACTTCCGTATGTTACGCGATATCTCACAAAAGCGAGGTTGAATCTGCTTCGAATTTTGCATGTGCATTTATCATATCTCGGACCAGAAGCCTATTGATTTTGGATGAATTATGTCGTATAATTAGCGAGTTATCAATTAATTAGTGATGGGACACGCGGCGTCGCTATTGAGTCAGAGCAAAGGATACACGCCGCTAGATCGATAAGTCGGCGGTCTCTGATTGGTATATTGTTTCCTAGTTCAGTTTTTTTTTTATCTTTTTCGCTCCTGAACACTTTTAGCTCGCCTCATGGAACATCAAAAAATTAGAAGGTGAAATTAATATTAAAAATATTGTGTAATGGATCAACCTGCACAACCGGCTTATCGCAACATCTTTTGAGGCTCCCAGTTTTAAGCCAGTAGTCCATTAAGAAAGGTGGTTTCCAAGTAATTTAGCCTATGATGAAATTGAAAAGTTTTCTGCAAACTTGACAATTGAAAAAATTAGGTCAAGTTCATGATATTGGATGGTTGACAAGACAAATTTACGACCTAAGAAGAGACCAAATAAGTCTCAATTTCGATCCTTGTCCCACAGAACATTCGACGAGCCTAGCAGCAATATGTTCTTCAATTCTTAGATAAGTTGAAATTAAATTTAAAATGTATTTAGCAGACTAATGTAGATCTGAGTGGGTGCGGTTGCCTTGTGCAACGTTTTTCAGAGAAATATCAAAGGATACTTGGTAGCAGCAAATTTATAGTTTTCAAAGAAGCATGTTTTTTAGTTTTTTTAGTAGAGGCCGCTTGTATATAGCAGTATTTATTGACTGTTGTTGAAAAAGTTCATAAGCGAATCATCAGATGGGGGCGTGGTACTGAAAGGCTTGGAAGAACTGGTATAAACACAACAGCAGTATCTACAACACAGCAACACAACAGGGTATCTAGGGTAACACAGCCATGGCTCGTGACACAAGGACGAAAAAGTTTTAAACATAAAATGTTTTGATAAAATGATTCCAAATTGGAAATGATTGAAACTCGTGTTTTTACCCAAATTATAACATACAAGTATCATATTTCAACCAATCATTAGGAATTTTCAGTCAATAATCAAGGGGCGTATTTTCAGACTTTGCCATGGGCATGATTTTAAGTAGATACGCCACTGCCAAACAGAGTTTGCACCCAAGATCTTACCAATGGAATGATGTCTTTCTCTTTTTTCTCGTTTCTTTTTCGGCGGCATTGGAACTTTATACTTATTCCGTATGACTTGGCGAATGCAAAATCTGCAAAGTTCTTGGAGTGAAAGAACATTTCGATCTGCTGTAAAAACAAAAAATAGGTACAATTTATTTCAGCGCTTAAAAAAAAGAGGATTTACTTCTCAGAGATCAATTCTGATGTATTTTGGTAGGAAATAAGGAAATATTATTTAATTAATACATTTTATAGCATTTGTTGTTCCTGTCGTTCAAATAAAATTATGTTATGGAAAGTTCATTTTCTTCGGTACACTTAGTTATTAATTGTACGTTTTGTAACATATTTCCCACTGTGTGTGAACACTCAGCGAACAGTGTGGGTGACAAATCAAGTTTTTTACTAATTTATGTGTCTGAAGGACTCATTACTACAAAACTTCTTCTAAGTATTCGAGATTCGATTTGATTTTGAAATCAACAGATATTACAAAATGCCCAGCCCTAGGAATAGCAAAACTCCTCGTAAGTTTCAAACTCACGTGGTTCAGTTATTTTCAAATTATTATTAGAATTGTTTGGTTCGATGAGATGAGCGAACGAAACGGCCAAAGCACATTTCGAATCCCATTCCTGCTCGTTAATCCTTGTTTTGACTTGCAGCTGAGAAAATAGAAAATTTAATTTGTGAATAATTCCACTTTTCGAATATGCTAAATGTGAAAATAAAACACTCCAGAAGTATGTGCACAAAGATGGCAGACATCGGAATGCCGTATGTGTCCCAGGTTAGGTTAGGCCATAGTTTTATTTTAATTTTCCTTATTTTAGTTCCGGAAGTATGTGTACCAAGATGGCCTACAACCTGAACATATTATGAGTACCAGGTTAGGGTTCAGGTTGTGCGTCATCGTAGTACACATACTTCCGGAGCGCCAATTATGATTCAGGTTCAAGAAAAATATATTAGGAGGAATCAGTCCCTTCGAGTATTGATGGTATATTAGTATGATATAAAATATCTATATCTTAATAATTTTAGTCGTATGGGAAAAGCAAACTCACAAGACTCAAATTTTAATAACAGTTCAAGAAACTTTTTCCGGACACCCCAATCATATAACAAAGGTAAATTCAAGTCACACCTGGTCTTCTAATGGCAAGACTAGTTTTCCTCCAATATTCAATAAATTCATCAAGTAATTTGCATATTCTGGTGGACAAGCAGCACCGCAGTATACTCTGTCATATCCAGGAGTGTCTAGGAAGAAAAAAGAGATTCCAAAATTCAAAATTCTTGAATACGCCATCAGGGGCGTAGAAAAGAATTTTAATAGCAATTTTAATAATTTATTTAATAGCAATTTTAATAGCAAGAATTTTAATAGCGAGGGGGTTCTAAAAACTAGCGGGATTTTAGCGGAGGCCAGAAAACCCGTGTTTTCGAGAGTCTTTCCGGTCTAAGAAGCGTTTCAAGCTACGGCCAAAGGCTATGAATGACACAGAATTTTTTTTATTTATTCCAACAGGGGCTTCCGACCTGCAAAACCACCATATGCTCACTATGAACAAAGACCCCCCTTTACAAGCAGCTACTAAAAATAAGTAATAACATAAGTGCAGCTACAATGATAATTTCACACCTTCAATGAAAAATAATGTTATAAGAAAGAATTTAAATTAATCGCGGTTAATTTCTTTTACGTTACCTGGAGGCAAAAGCAAGCAATTTCCGACAGAGAATTTCGGTTCACAGAAGTCAAACCTGGAATAAATTGCAAAATTGATCAAATGAATGAAGAGAACACTGAATTTAGCTCGCAATCTGGCCATCATTCTAAGCCTTAGAAGTATGCTTTCCATTGCACCTCTGATTAGGCAGCGTAGATTCGCAAGTTCGAATCCCATGGAGATAGCTATGTTCGAGAGGATTGCTGGACTCCTCATTATCGTAGGCTGGTTCTTGTCTGTTGCCCACTGCTTATGTAACCATTGGTCGGGTACGGCTTTCTCCACCATCAAGTCCAAGTATATGATACAAATAACTGGTTGATCAATCCCATACTCGACATGGACTGGTAACCATGGGTATCAAACCCAGGCCCGAAGCAAACCCAAATTTCATATTTTATTTAGGAGTTCTTTGAATTGAAGCCGTCTTGACGGCTTTACTCTCCTGTGAGATAAGTTATGTGAATCCTATCAGTTTTACCTGTCAAAAGCAGGTGATTTTAGCATGAAGTCTTTCAGTCGTTCTCTGCTGTATTCAACAACATCTTCATGGTATTCTATGCCATGATTGATACCGTTGGCACCTGAATAAAAATAGAGAAATTTATAAAGATTAAATTCAATTGAAACTCTCACATTAGGCATCCCGAAATAGCCAAAACCAAACAAACTGCTATTATTATAGAACTATCATTCAACATTAACAACATTAAATTAACTAGACAGCGATCGGAGACCGCCGACTTATCAATCTTCCGCAAAATAAATTATTTAATTAATAACTCGCTAATTATAACAAAAAAAATAATGGAATTATTATTAAATAACTCGCTAATTATACAACATAATTCATCCAAAATCAATAGGCTTCTGGTCCGAGATATGATAAATGCACATGCAAAATTCGAAGCAGATTCAACCTCGCTTTTGTGAGATATCGCGTAACATTCGAAAGTGTCTAACAGACAGACAAACAAACAGATACCGATCAAGATCGATAAGTAATGAGTAAATCCAGGCTCAGTCTAAACAAGATTTTCACACCAATATGGTGATAGAAGAAGTGGTAGATTTGCCGGTATATTGCCCCAGATAGTGTGATGGTGTTGAAAGGATAAGTATTATGTTGAATAAATAAATTTTACCTAATAATAATCCAGCCATTGTACTCAAGTATCCAGTCCCGCTTCCAAGGTTTAGAAATGACATCCCTGGTTGTAGATCTAAGTGCTCCATGACTTCGGAATATATACAGGGTGCTGATAGATGAAGATGGTTAAACTTCCATGCTATGTCACTGTGAAAAGCAAGTTCCAGTTATGTTTGAGTCTGAAATGGGCAACCTATGGCCTGCAGGCCAAATTCGACCAATTGGGTAATTCAATCTGGTCCGCCTGATGTTGCCACAACCAAACTAAGACCAAATGCTGATGTTTAAGGATTTAGTTGAGATTGCAATTAAATTTAGTTTTGGCACGAGGCTTATTGTTTTTTTTACTCTTGCTCTTGTTGCACTGTGAAAATTGTTCACAAAATGTAACTTTTCATGTCATACTCACGCTGCCCACCAGTCTGAGTGGGCAAACTGTTTTGCCCCTGGACCAAAAACTTTGCCCAACTCTGTGTTACATGGATAGTAAGAGAGATAGGAAGATCAATTTATCCCGGGGGGAGGAAAGGCGATACGACGGCTTAATCATTTGGCGAACCACAGCCTCTCGTCCTGTTACCAGACCATATAGGGTATGAGATTAGTTAGCCAGTTATTCTGTTTTTATATGCATGGGTGTTTTGTGTAATTTTGCTTAAAGCACGTCCTTTCTCCTTGTCGACTTTCTACTTCAGATTAATATGCAGCAGTTGATTGAAAAAAAAATGATTGATCAAGTTAGTATTGTAATGATAAAAAAAATAACACTGGTTATTTCATCGAAATAGATTATGTTATTAGTATACAGCCAAACCTCTACTAATGGAAGACCCCGAATACGGAGTATCTAAGTCACAAAACGTCTTTTCGTAGAAATATTGCTCCAATTAACGAAAGATGCGAATGAAAGGCCAAAAACCGAAAATTTAAAAATTGCAATACTGGTCATTTATTAAGTGGATGGGCAGCTTGGTTCTAAAGTGGCGCTTCTGAAATGCTCTGCAATTGGCTAACGCCCAGCAACTTCCTGATACCCCATTGGCCCATTTGGGTATGTACTATGCGTCTCACTGCGAGTTTTGTGGCGACTTAGGGGCATTTATAGGGTAAAATGAATGCAATCCTCTTTACGAAATTTTCTGCCTCCGAAACGAATGAATTTCGTGGTAGAGTTTCTACTGTATTTTTAAAAAAAACAAGCGATTTACACCACTATGGTTGCTTGTCTAAATACTTGTGCAACATGAAAGCATGAAACAGATCGAAACTTTGAATTTATAAAATCGAAAAACTTGGACTCACTGATATGCTGAATTCCTTTGTCCTTTCAAATAATAATGTCCTCTGTCGACTGCTCGAAATATTTCAACCAACTGAAAAAAACAGAATGACATTTGCATGTTGACATGACAAGTATTTTTATCATATTCTACATTGCAAAAAAACAGTGGTTTTCAAACAGTGGGGCGCGTCCCACAAGGGGGGCGGTAGATATTTTTTTGAGGGGGCATGAAACTAATTAAAAATATTTGTTAGATTTGATCTTGTCTGTCTTATTTCTGATATCTACATCTCTTTATTGAACAAAACATATTTGTAGTTTATTGTTAGTTAGTTAATTTTGAGGTGGTGCGCAAGACATAAAAAGACACACTTGAAAATTTTGAGAACCAATGTAGTAAAATCAAAGACACATTGGTCACTGAAAAAGGTTTGCGATAAAATCCACAAAATTTTTTCTTGCGCCTGCGGGTTGTTGTATTATAGTATCGTGACTGACTGCACGCATCGTGATGTTAAGCGGATTCCTAACGCTTATCACAATGCACTACCTGCCAATAAATAAACCTACCCTCGATGTTCTGATGTATTTTGCAGTGACAAGATTTTCAACAAGGTTATCATTGTCTTCCCCGGCACTTACTGCTCCTCCCATCTTGTGAAAAAAGTTCGACACTTGACTGGTTAATAACGTAGTGTTATAACTATTGATCAGTCATTTAAACTTGCTGAGAAAATTTTAACCATGAAACAAATTTTCATCACATTTCATTTAACAGTTTGTGACAAGCGAGTGCTGCATTGGCACAGAATTATTGATTATATTTGTCCTGTTGTCTGCCTGCATGGGGCTTTTCACATCACAAAGGACCCAATTCGGTAGTTTTAATATGTATTTGATGTTGGTCCGTTATGTCTGTATGTATATAAATTTCATATATATAAAGGCATGCCCATGTTTATCGTTAATTATCGTTCAGTCGTTTCTTTTATTTCGACATTGTATATGACGACGTTTCAAATGTCTTGAATAAATGAATAATTAACCATTCCGTTAATCCAATTTTAGCCACAGTACAGTACTGCAGTACGGTACAGAGATACCGGTACATATGTAAATTCTATCATACGAGAATGAAAAATCATAGAACCAAATCTCATACCAATATGCCATGGGGATAATTTTACATTTGAACGCATTGCCTGATTGCTGACGTTTTTGCTGAGCAATCCACATACCGTACTGACATATAGTATCATCATACTGTCATATCATATACCGAAAACATCTGTTTATTTGATATTTAGACTATATATGTATGTATATATTGTTTACTCGGTTTGACAAAACGAAATAAACTCTCTCTCTCTATAGTCGATGCCTGCCGTACCGGTAGGTACCGGTACCGCATAGCAGTAGGTATAGAATAGCATAGTTTTGATGAAATACCAGTCTGCCAGTACAGCAGTACTGATATATGGATATAAATCTACCGGCAACACATACCCTACCGGTACTTGACCTGATAGACCTAAATACAGAAGCAGGCAAACAACACGGTACCGGTACAATCAATCCTGTTAATTGCGGCAGAACGAACCCAAGAATGCAGAGCACGTTTGCGCCGCTAAAAACTTTAACCAGACAACCGTCAAGCGCCATTGTACCGTATTTACCAAAAGAGCTATAGATAGTAGATACGCTAACATGCATTTTGCATTGAATCGAACGAACTGTCATACATTGTTAAACTTATATTGCTGTATTTTCCGTATTGCCAATGTTTTAAATCAACGGAAACGCGACCCCCATGCTTCAGGTTCAACTTTGTTTTGTTGTTGTCATCAGCTGAGTTTCTCGGACCACGTGACCAATGACGTCAATTGAAAGGGTCAGATAGGATAGGAATAGCGAACCTTTTTTGAATGGAAAAGAAAGGGGGTGGGGGGGGGGGGGGGGGGGGGTGGGGGGTGGGGGGGGGGTGGGGGGGTGGATAGAATTTACATATTTATCCCGGCAAACAAGACGGCTTAACCATATGGAGAACCACGGTCTCTCGTCTGATTACCATTCCGGCTACCGGTCCACGTCGGGTATGGGATTATGGCATATGTGGTTGTTAGATGAATGTGATGTTACCGTATATTGCTAATTTGTAGATTGTCTCTGACTTGTAAGTCACTCGTTCACCCTTCAGCTTCAGCGCCCACGTGAATGAAGATGCGTTAAAAATCTCTATATGTTTTTATTCGTAAATTTCCACAACACACAGAATATAAATCTTATAACATTAATCCAGACTAGCTTAGAATGGTTTACATCGTCTTCTCTCCCTATCGAAATATATCGGAGTCGTATTTATACGTTGATCATAAATCCAATTAAATGCTGTAAACGCGAGCTCGTGATTCACGTTATAAACAGAAATTCCTATTATCTCAACAAGGGTAATTATGTACATCGTACGGATGGGAACTTAGATATAATTATTTCGATCAGTGCCAAAGGTCTTGAGAATATAGATTTTAATTTGATAATGACTGGTTGGAACCTGTTATGTTCTTAAACCTGGTGTAATTTGATTCCTACGAAAGTCTTTGTTCGAATTTTGGGGAAAATTAACTTTGTTTTCATACTTTTAACATGAAATGGGGTACATTTGGGGGTTAGTTGCTATATTATCTCCCCATCTTACTAACTGGAAGTTTAAAGATTTGCCACCTCTAATAAATTGAAAATATATAGAAAAATACAATACACAATGCTAAAATTAATGATATATATAGGTCAAAAAAAATATTTACATGTATATGATCTACAATGAGACAAGACATTGAAGTAAAGAAAAGTTTATAGAAAGGGTAAAGGTTGTAAAGTAGAATTACAGAAGGATGGCGTATTTTTATTTTAAAAATTTTGGTTTGGACGGTTTAAACATATTTTCAATTTAATGTATTTCGCTAAGTTAAAATACTTATACTCGCTTTATCGCATTGTTACGATTTTGTAGACCTAGTTGGTCAATATATGCTTGTCCCATGTCGGGAAGAAAAAACGCATTTTTAAGTTTATGCCATCCCAGGGCTTTTTTGAAAAAATAACGCTTTTGGATACAATTTTTGTTTAACGAGCTTATTATTTCACCGTTCTATATGACGGCTTTGTAAATAATTAAAAGTATGACTCGCTCGAATCTACTTTTAGAAAGCATTTTAATTCTAACGAAATCTATTTAATCGAAAAGAAATGCTAACCACAAATATTCAATAATATAAATCTCTTGAAAGGTTTTGAAATCGGAATATTCAAAGTTGTTACCATTAATTAATTTATAAAAATTGAAAGTCGAATGAAACGCCATGTATATACAAGAAGAAAAAGAAGTACTTTACCTTAGTATTAGTGGAAGAATGAAAAATGTCTGTCTCAATGAGGAGAAAAACCTGCAAATCACGAAACAAATTGTAGGATGACATGCTCCTGATCTGTATATCCATTATGTATGCGCGAAAATATCTCCATTGTTTGGAATAGAGCGCGTAATTTACCGTAAAACAGTCCATATAGTTCATTGTTTTCAACAGTTCGTTTTTGATTAGGTTTTTCACCTCGAACATATATCATGTTCTAAAAGAGTTCATTTCGATCGATGTTCAATACAGTCCATATTCATGATTTTAACGTTTCCAGAGTCCGTTACCATAGTTCAACTGTTTTCAATTGAGATTATTGTCTTTTCATAATGTTTCTGATTATATCGGCTTGTCAACAATTTGCTACTTCAATCGTTGTTCCAGGCAATTTGAATCTCCCCGGCGTTCGTAAGTTGGTCGAATTTGATTTTCGCACGTTTTGTATAGACGGTTTCTCGGCAATTGTTGGAAGCTTTCGCTTGGTCAGCTTTTTCGTTGATTCCGTCCAATTGTTGCCTGTCCTAATTGTTGTCCGTTGATCTGGTCCGTTTCAGAAGGTTAATTCAAGTCGGTTTTGTCACCATTTATAGCATAAAGGGTTGTTAGATGAATGTGATGTTACCGTATATTGCTAATTTGTAGATTGTCTCTGACTTGTAAGTCACTCGTTCACCCTTCAGCTTCAGCGCCCACGTGAATGAAGATGCGTTAAAAATCTCTATATGTTTTTATTCGTAAATTTCCACAACACACAGAATATAAATCTTATAACATTAATCCAGACTAGCTTAGAATGGTTTACATCGTCTTCTCTCCCTATCGAAATATATCGGAGTCGTATTTATACGTTGATCATAAATCCAATTAAATGCTGTAAACGCGAGCTCGTGATTCACGTTATAAACAGAAATTCCTATTATCTCAACAAGGGTAATTATGTACATCGTACGGATGGGAACTTAGATATAATTATTTCAATCAGTGCCAAAGGTCTTGAGAATATAGATTTTAATTTGATAATGACTGGATGGAACCTGTTATGTTTCTTAAACCTGGTGTTATTTGATTCCTACGAAAGTCTTTGTTCGAATTTTGGGGAAAATTAACTTTGTTTTCATACTTTTAACATGAAATGGGGTACATTTGGGGGTTAGTTGCTATAGGATTACTTAGCCTGGTATTTTTTTAGATGCGTGAACTTGGATTATTCAAACAACGAGCCTGGACTTGAAACACTGCGATAATCGTTTATATCTCTGACTTAATAATTTAACTCGCTGTCTTCATTCCACAAGCCTTTCAACAATGGCAAAATGAGCCGTATTCTATTCCAAACTTTCATGGGATTCGGGAATCGCGGCCGAGGTCACCCTCTTAGCGTCTTGATACTATGGCGTCAGAGAGAGAGAGAGAGAGAGATTTATTTCCACAAACAATGAAAAAACAATATTAAATAATATCGATAATTTTTATAAAGTTAGACTATAATGAAAACAATGAAAAACAGTATAAAACCATATCGATGATTTTTATAGAAGTAGTCCAATTTACACATTGTTTTGTGTTGGCCAGTATGCAAGACCGTTGAAGGTCATCAAGGCTCCTGACCAATTTAACACTGTTATTGATTAAGAAGTCGGAATTAATTGTCACAATATAAATATAAAAAAAACGGAGAATGAGTCGGCAGATATTTTAGTTCCACGATTCAACACTAAAAGCACATTGTGATAGAGTTTAGAGCAGGGGTTCTCAAACTTTTGGTGTTGCGGAGCCCTTGGAAAGGTTGACTATTATTCACGGAGCCCCAAAATAAATGTTAAAGTTGTTACTTTCAGATTAATATTCCTGAGCAAGTTAAAAGTACTTTACTTAATTTAAATGCTGAACCTTAGGGTTAATACAAGTCATACATAAATCTAAATTTCAAACATAGATTATATATACACTAAAGCTGTAAATTTGACACTTGACAAACATGTTAATAAATAAGGGGTCGAATCTTTTCCCTTTTGACATTTTTGGAAGACTTAAAAGGCCGCTAATAACGTGCGCAATTGCATTTTGTTACAATCGCCGATTTTTTTCGTCAGCATGGCGTGTCTTTGAACCTTTTAACATCTTTACGCCGGTGTTTATTCTCCCTAAATCAAAAATTTCCCTCGGCATATATATACATGTATAGTTACACAATGACGACGTTATTCGCTTTTTTGTTCTCGTGGGGAATTATGAGTTCAATGTGAAAAACATGATACCATATTATAGTCATCGTTACGAAATGCTAAAAATAATAATTGATAAAGAGATAAATCCGCAACTCAAATTTCTTGATTGAAAAGCGGCATTCTAAAATAATAAGACTAAAACTTAAAATGGAAGATCACAGGTTTGGTTTCAGCAGACTCACCTCAGATTGAAAACGTATTTATAGACATTGTAAATCACAAAAATTGATGTTATGTTAGGTTTTCATCGTAGTAACTGCGAAATCGAAACAGAGTCAATTGTGCGCGCGATGTACCTTTTCTCCCATTATGAAACTACCGACGGAGCCGCACGCAATCAATTGTGCGCGCTCCGCGATGTACCTTTTTTTCATTCTGAAACTACCGACGGAGCCGAATGCAATAAAATAAATTTCAATTGTTCGTTAAATGCTCGCATCGGTCATGGATTAAATATTTTACGCAATAGAAATCTCGTTATCCGTTTTTTTTAATCGCGAAGAATGTTGCGCGGAAATTTCCGATTCCAATTTTGAACCACCACCCTCTTAAGAATCCTGGCTACGCTCCTGCTTATAAATAATGTCATTTTTTAATTCCGCCTCTTTGCCATATTTCGAGGCTATTTTGTTGTCAGATTTTATCAAAGCTGTTATTGCTTCTTATTAGAACAGTTACAAAACTAGTCAGTATTTTGAAAAGTAATCCAATAGCTCGCGGAGCCCCTGGGTTTCTCTCGCGGAGCCCTGGGGCTCCGTACGGAGCACTTTGAGAACCTATGGTTTAGAGGACATGTGTAAAATATATATAATACCAGTGCTACATTGTGATCTAGTACATTACAGATCGCCATAACCGAGTCGGGCTCAGTATGAAATATAAATGAACAGAATAGCACAGACACATTTGCACCATGTTATATAAATATTAAGGTAAGACAATTATTGGACACGTAGTGGACATAACGAACAATATTATGTTGTTGTTGTTTTTTGTTAACATCATAATTAAAAAAATCGCTTTACTCTTTGAATACTACCCCAAATGGCATTGAAATTTTCACTGGTTAAATATGGAATTTTTTCCAGGAGGCTATTACTTTTTTTTTTTTTCTTTCTATGACGTCATTAAAATTATGTGGCTCTACGTGTCCATATATTTGAGCATAGCTCTCTTGTTAAACAGTATAAAAATCCTGAGGAAATATACACTGATATACAATCGGAAGTTGAAGATATAATGCAAACTGAGAGAATAATAGATATTTCAATATTCAATCATATTAATGACGGATTTAAAAAAAAATGTTAACTTTTCAAGTAGGCTAATATGACACTAGAGAGATAGATTTTATTTTGATTCATTTGCAAAAAATACAAAAAAAGAAGAAAGGCAAAGAATCTGGATTATTTCTAAAGTATCGAACTTCTTAACTTTTTTAAATCTATATTCGAATATACATAAACCATAATATCTATTCCAAACTTTCATGGGATTCGGGAATCGCGGCCGAGGTACCCTCTTAGCGTCTTGATACTATGGCGTCAACTTTTCAAGTAGGCTAATATGACACTAGAGAGATAGATTTTATTTTGATTCATTTGCAAAAAATACAAAAAAAGAAGAAAGGCGAAGAATCTGGATTATTTCTAAAGTATCGAACTTCTTAACTTTTTTAAATCTATAATCGAATATACATAAACCATAATATCTTTTAGCACCTGTCGCCACTGTTTAACATGAGATGACGTGATAAAGAGTAGGCTACTGGAGACATTCACTCGTACAATATCATAAAATTTTATTTCGATCTTTCGTCCACAACACATTTTTGTAAACTGATTACAAAACTTTTGCGTTTCTCACGACTCGAAACCTATAGTTATGATTGCTAACTGTCCTTCATTTCAAATGACATGCCTTTAAAGGTTGTATTTCAAAGCCAACTGTTGGTAGAATTTCTAAAATTGCATACTGTGTATACTTTACTAATTCATAATAGAACAAAAGATCTTACTTGAATTCGTTGGTAAAAATGCATTGGTTTAGTTCCTCATTTTGTTTCTTTAACAACACCTTGCGATTTGGTGTTCATAGAAACGTGTAACCACATCGCCTCTTGGAATTCTTGTTTGGCAAGTTCTCAATGTAGAGTTAAGAGGTTCTACAGGTCCTATTTCTGATTATTGGGCTGTCTTGTCAATCTACTTCCGTAGCTAACTCTCGACACAGTAGTAACGCACACATAAACACATCCAACTTGTATGAAAGAACTTGTAATGAAAGTATATTTACAGTATATACAAGTCACAGTCCAGTAAAATTCCACAATCAGGTTAAAAGTTCCACAGTAGATAGATAAATTTCCACAGCAAGTATAACGGCAGTGTAACACAGTGAATGTAAAAACTTGATGTCTGTATGTAGACTAAATGTATGGTGTGTATTGTATGATGTGTTGTATGATGTGGTTACAATATATTTGTGTCTCCAGCCCAACAACAGTACTTAAATTTAGCTACAAGACACAAAAACAATAAAAGAGTATAATTAGCCTTCTGACATACAACTCAATTAGAACCTATATTACTAAATAACCCTAAACATCTTAACAATTCTAAATTAGCATAATCAAAACCCTACAATTTGCAACTCAATGCCGCAAAGTAATCGCAGCTACTAACAAAGAAATTCATGTGACCAGGCCTCATTGCACTGTCTCCCACACTAATAAATAGGACATTTAGTATAATACAATAAGAATAACAAGGGCATGAATACAAATCAGCTGATATAAGAGAGTATTGCACCATCATTGCCAAGACTTCAAACTTTCTCTCGGTCAGTGACTCTTAATATAAATAAACAAATAAATAAACGAGAGCAAGTCTAAACATGATTATCGGGACCAGAATAACTAAAATTAATAGGTTAATTCACGAAAGTTAAATTTCTGCCTGTAACATTCCGGCCTCTAAGTAACTCTGGGAAAACAGAGTTAATTATAAATAATTCAAATTACAGGCAACAGGAAATTTCAACTTCAATATTAAACATAATAAAACATGAAATGTTCACTAGTAATTAAAATTATTAAACAGCTTCAAGATGACACCGTAAATAGGCAACTGCATTGTACAATCACCATATTTGGAGCCCTTGAACCATCTTGGCATAGAAACTATTCTAAATTCAGGAAGTTGAACCATCCACTTTCTCCATAAATCAACAGCTTTATCAGGTAACTGTTGATCCCAGGTAAAATTCTCTGCACATAATTGTTGAAGTAATCTCTTCATAGGTAACAAAAAGGGACCCAAAATACCAAGAGGATCAAAAATCTGTGCTTGCATCGCCAACAATCCACGTCTCGTATATGGTTTTTGCTCAATATTGACTTCGAAACGAAATGCATCAGTAGATACATCCCACAGTAAACCCAATGCCTTCTGTGACATATTTTCTTCAAAATTAAAACTTATTGTAGTAGGTGATCTATCTGCTTCAGAGATAGTTTCCAAAACTTCAGGTTGAGAACTCAAAAACTTAGTAAGATGAAATCCCGAATCATCAAGAAGAGAGGACAAATCCTTTATACGATGAACTGCATCTTCCACGGTTGGCTCTGACCGAAGCAAATCATCGACGTAAAAATTTTCATTAATTGCACCTAAAGTTTCCTTGTCCATGTGATCTCGATTGTCGACAGTAACTCTCCTCAGGGCATAACAGCATACACTAGGAGCCCAAGAGCCACCAAAAATGTGAACATTCCAACGATACTCTGTAACTGGTTGATTGTAATCTCCATCTTGCCACCAAAGGAACCGCAGAGAATCTCTGTCTTCCGGTGCAACCAAAACTTGATGATACATTGCAGAAATATCACCAATGATCAGAACTTTCTCTTCGCGACATCTTGTAAGGACACCAAACAAACTGCTTGTTTCCGGTGGTCCGCTTAAAACATTGTCATTCAATGATATATCGTTACACTTGGCAGACGCGTCAAAAACAATTCGAAATTTTCCTCCAACCCCATGGTGAGGAATATACCATGTATTTTTCTTGTGTATCAAATCTTGGTCTTCAATTTTACTAGCATATCCTTTAGAGATGTATTCATCCATCTTGGCTTTATATTTTTCATAATATCCAGAATCTTTGACACAACGTCTCTGTAAATTCTCAAATCTTCTTTCAGCAACTTGCTTATTATCAGGCAACTCGATATCAGATGACCTCCATGGAATCTTGACTTGATATCTTCCATTCACTTTACAAATTGAATCATTCATGATCTTTAAAGCCTGTTTGTCTTCAATAGATGGTAAAGTGTCAAATCCACTGACATTAGAATCCTTTAATTCATTCCGAAAAGCTTGCTCCATCTGAACATGCAATTCTTCATTATCCAAATGAATCCAATCAAGATGTTTTACACTTGGTTGATGAAATTTGCCATCTGGCCCGAATAATGCCCATCCAAGACCAGTATGCACAGCAAATGGCTCTGAATTACTCCCACGTCGCATTCCATAACACGCATGAGCTTCAGGCACATCTACACCAATCAGGACTTCAACTTTTGCATTCTTTGCATTTGGAAAATTGATATCTTTCAAGTATTCGTATTTCGCCATCGCACTATTAGACGGTATGTTGCATTCCAAATCCGAGGGAAGATCGTCCAACACTCGAACTCCATGCATCTGAATAATCCTTGTTTCATTGAGTCCTTGAATATTCAGTGACACTTCAGGACTTGATTTATGTTCAATTTTTCCACCCAACGTCTTAATTACGAGTGGGTCGCTGTTGCCTTGTAAACCAAGTTTCTTCATAAGCTCAGTTTTGATAATGCTAATATTACTGCCATCATCAATGAATCCATATGTGTCGTATGATTGATTATCGGTTCCCCATACTCGCACAGGAACCACCTTTCTTCTTATAAAGGTGGCAGGTTTAACTTCAGTAGCACACAACTGAGTCGAAGTTACACCGGCCTCATTGGCGGTCGTAGCTCCGGCCTCATTAGACCTCACATCTTGAGGTGATTGCACATCTGTACTACCATTTGGTTTCACTGAATCAGGCTTCTTATTAACGTGCAACAGTGTGTGATGTCTTCTATTGCAACCTGGTGCTCTACAATGATAATTTGACTTGCACTGGCTTGCAAAATGATCTGGAAGCAAACAATTGAAACACAACTTGTTCTTGGAAACAATCTCGAACATCTCTTTGGCCTTCCTTTTCTTAAATTCTTCACACCTCCACAACTGATGATCAGATTTGCACACAACGCACTCTCGTAGTGGTTTTCTCAACGTGGCATTACTCAACTTAGGATCAGCTGTGGGTGCTTTAGAAGAGGACTCTTCAGAAATAAGAAATGATGACACACTGCGGTTGCCCCGCTGACTCGGACTGTCAACATATTTCTTTCCTTTATGTGTCTCAAGTGCAAGCTTACCAAATCCAGATCTATTCACATTTGAAACTGTCTCCATAAATGTAAGAAGAGTATCAAAATTGACAATATCTCCATTGGTGTACTTCTCATTAGCAATGTGAGCAAATTTCCATAAATGTCGTATTGGAAATCTCTTTACAATCTTTCTTAATGTAGTTAAATCATCCAAACTACATCTGGCATCATATTCCTTGAATACAATGAGGCAATTCCGTGCCTGGGTGACCAATTCATCCCATGCATTAACATCATTTGCCTTTATTGAGGGACCTTCAGTAAGTAATTGCAAATGTGCATCAATTATGAGATGCCTCTGACCATAATTTCGATGCAAAATACTTCGTGCCAGTTCATAACCTCTTTCTGCAGGTAAAGAACCACATGACAATATTGCTTCTTTAGCAGAACCTTCACAATTGGAAATCAAACAATTCAATTTTTGAGCAACATCCAATTGACTCGAACCAATAAAAGTATTGAACTCTCGAACAAACTCAGTATATTTGAGAATTTCTCCTTTAAATGTTGTCATCTTAATATGAGGGAACATTAAACCTTGCTTAATGATATTTGCTACATTCAGCATTCCTCCCTGTAAAGCTTGCGTCAGCTGCGCCATCGCATGAACAGTGTGATCCGGCATACCATATTCCATATTAGCATGGCTTCTTATAGTACCCGGTGACTCAATCTTAATTTCATGGGCTGCTGACCTGTTTACAGGTTCAACATTCGGCACTTCAGTGGGAATCAAGCGAATGAGATGCTGATTTGTACTGGCATCAAATCTATGATCATGCATAATATCACTCACCAAATTCTTCGCAGGTGATGGAACTTGATTTTCATTTGATATGAATGGAACGTTCGGATCCAACATACATCCTTTGTCATCATTTGCCATAGGAGTAAAAATTTGCCGCAAGATTCTATTTGCTTTCTCTGGATCAAAGTCCGACACATTTGATGGTTTCATAGGAGGCGGAAGTGACGTATCAGCCACATCATCTTGACTTAATAACTTCAAATGATCAGTAATCGGAGTTGACTTAACAACTTTCTCAGAACTAGATTGAGCCTCAAATCCATAAAATGTTGACCCGTCAATAACTGAGCCTTGTCTTGAATGGCTAGCACTTGACAGCATATCATACTCAATTTGAGCTTCTTCAGCATCTGCTTCGGCTGCTAAAGTTTGAGAATCTAATTCAAGTTGCTTACGTTTCAACTCAGCTTGCTTCAGAATTTGTTGCTTTCTCAGATTTGCAAGTCGCAATCTCTTCTCTGCCTTTGCTCTTTCAGACATACATGGCTTAGTAGTTGATCCAGAAACAGTTGACATCTTCACTTGACTTTAAACTTTCGAGACAACAGTCGAGACTTATATTGTAACTTAATGTAGAGTTAAGAGGTTCTACAGGTCCTATTTCTGATTATTGGGCTGTCTTGTCAATCTACTTCCGTAGCTAACTCTCGACACAGTAGTAACGCACACATAAACACATCCAACTTGTATGAAAGAACTTGTAATGAAAGTATATTTACAGTATATACAAGTCACAGTCCAGTAAAATTCCACAATCAGGTTAAAAGTTCCACAGTAGATAGATAAATTTCCACAGCAAGTATAACGGCAGTGTAACACAGTGAATGTAAAAACTTGATGTCTGTATGTAGACTAAATGTATGGTGTGTATTGTATGATGTGTTGTATGATGTGGTTACAATATATTTGTGTCTCCAGCCCAACAACAGTACTTAAATTTAGCTACAAGACACAAAAACAATAAAAGAGTATAATTAGCCTTCTGACATACAACTCAATTAGAACCTATATTACTAAATAACCCTAAACATCTTAACAATTCTAAATTAGCATAATCAAAACCCTACAATTTGCAACTCAATGCCGCAAAGTAATCGCAGCTACTAACAAAGAAATTCATGTGACCAGGCCTCATTGCACTGTCTCCCACACTAATAAATAGGACATTTAGTATAATACAATAAGAATAACAAGGGCATGAATACAAATCAGCTGATATAAGAGAGTATTGCACCATCATTGCCAAGACTTCAAACTTTCTCTCGGTCAGTGACTCTTAATATAAATAAACAAATAAATAAACGAGAGCAAGTCTAAACATGATTATCGGGACCAGAATAACTAAAATTAATAGGTTAATTCACGAAAGTTAAATTTCTGCCTGTAACACTCAACAACGAATGCTTTGCACAAGTTTATAATAAAATTTTGTGTCGTTAGTGATTCCGATTTTTGAGGATTTTGATTCCCGTTTTTTGATTGGTTCATTTTGGCGACAATTGGTTATGGATGTTGGTATTTTTGTTGCACAGCGATGCGTTGTAGAGATGTCAAATAGTTTTGTGTCCACTTGAATCATTTTTCTAATTTTCATTATTGGTTTAACAGTGTCCCTGATGGAGCAATGCCATGAAAATCCAAGTTGTCCGGGCACTAATTTTCCTGCAGCATTAAATAGTTTATTTTCTTAATCATAAACTTACTCTTCTAGACATCGTATGCCTTTTCTAGAGAATGTATAAGTTTCTAATTTGTTATGATTTACTTTAATAGCAATAATATCATTATATATATATAATTTCCCGATTGGAAAGTGTGCGATTCTCTAATTCAGGGTGGTCCAAACCTAAGCCAGCGGGCCACATGTTAGCGAGCGGATGACTATTAATTATTACTGCTCGACCTTGCGTTGAGTTGGGCAGCCTTTCCATAGCCCTGTTTAGTTATTGGACACGTAGTGGACATAACGATCGTTTCAATATTATGTTGTTGTTGTTCTTTGACACGTTTTTAAAAAGTCGCTTTTCTCTTCGAATACTGGACCAATTGCTTTGAAATTTTCAGTGGTTAAAGATAAAAATTTTCTCCAGAAGGCTATTACTTTTTTTTTCGCTATGACGTCATCAAAATTATGTGACTCTACGTGTCCATATATTTGAGCATAGCTCTCTTGTTATTAGTTGAGTTATGCTAAGACGTTGTTGAAAAATGTATAAGTAAGTTATTAAACACTTGCAGATCCTTACAACGAATATGGACCGTGAGACGAAGCCTTGAAAACGCCCAGAAAATGAGTTTCGTAGCGCACATCTTGTAACTAAATAATTTCTTCAGTTTTGTGTGAAAATGAACATACCGAACGCATTACAGCTTGTTCCACAATCCTGATGCGAAATTGAATATAAGAGGTTCCCGGAAATTCAATAACCATAAGTTTATAACACATACATAAGAACTATGCAATTAGAGAGCCCTACAGCACACTAACACAAAAGTTTTCCTGTAATGTTTTGCCTGACCAAAATTGGACTTCCTCAGTCAATCATAATTTATTAGGTAGATTACGAAAAATATGGCATACATGTAACCAACAACAAAAAATACTTTAATTGTGTGACAGGAGTCGCGAGTGACCTCGAAAGCAGCGACACCAACAACGCTGATTCACATTAGCAAATAAATTTTACGTAATAACCACAAGCAGTTTACAACAAAAACAGCATAAAAAGCTACATCCATTTTATAGAAGCTATCAAACGTATTTATTTTTAAGCAATGAAGTCACAAATAAACATCGTGAGCACGAAAACACAAATAAATCAGTTATTTCTCACTTAGAAATTTACCGGAAAAGTCAAGAAAATTAAATTTGCCAACTCAAGAACTGATTTGAGGGACACATGCTTTTTCAGTGAATCATTGTTGGGTGGTAGAGTATAATCCTTATGTTTGCCAGTGTTAAATAGACGTGCCCTGGTATCATTTACATTCTTCATATCCTCTTTATACAGTGAACAAACAAATAACTCAGCTTTATTTATTAATGCCTCGTTAACCTCAAAATATCTTCATAGATGAGAAAAAATTGAATTGAAAACCTCAATGAAGCCTGTTCCAATTGCAGAAAAGTGCTAAAGTATATCAATATGAATAGCCCATCTAAGCTGTTTGCAACTATTATGATTCTCATGTACCTTTACGCTTCAAGACTTCTTGTTTAATCCATTTTATAGCACTGATAGCAGCAGGGATTAGAGCCTGCCTTAGGTCGGATTGGTGGAACATTTTCTTTTGTGGTGCAGTACCTAAAATGAAGCAGAAAATTATATTTGGAACAGCATGAGTGTAAAAATACCACTAAATACTAACTAATACCTTGAATACATAATGCATTTTATCTGGTGTACTAAATGAGCGTATATATATATGCTCATTGTATGTAGGCTACTACAGTCCAGAGGTGTGTTGCATACCATTACTAGACTATATCTACACTAAATTTTGATATATCACAGTCTGATGAGTATGGACTATAGAATACCGTATATTTTAAAACATCAACTGTCTGTCTACAACTTGATTTCTCACCTCTCAATCTTTTCCAATGCTACCTTTCTTTCCACTCCGGCATAACTTATCATTGCTTCCCAGGTTCTTGTCGACTCTATGAATTTAGATTTAGACCAACCGACATTAGTAAAATTGATTATTTTCTTCTCTTTCACACAACCGTGCATTACAGAAACAGCCAATAATTTCTATTTCCAACTATGCTGTGGCCTATATAGTAGTATAAGTCTGCTAAATAGTCAAGAAGAGTCATTAAATTATTCATACACATTTCATGCAAGCCAGAAAATATCGTTGTTTATGACATAATATTCTAGATGTAGCCTTCCTTGGAGTTACCGCACCGTACCTATTTAACAACGTCTTATGAGCTAGTGCTCAACTAAAATTGCTATTTATGGTAAGGATATACAAGTGTTTAATATCTTACTTATACTTTTCAACACCTCTTTAGAATAACTGAACTAATAATAACTTAAAAAAAACTATGGAAAGGCTACTCAACGCAAAAGCGAGAAGTAGTAGTACATCTGATATTCATCCGACCACTGGGGATCCACCTACAGCTGACCAATTTGATTGTTACGTCATGCAGAAGTCTGCGTTCATTGGCCCATGATATTGGGAAAGCAGAGAAAATAGGACAGATGGTAACACATATTTATTGTAGTAAAATCGTCTTTTCTGTAAAACGTGCAACTTTTGGAAGTGGGAACAAGGCAATATTTGTTACTAAATTTCTGAGAAACATTTTAAAATCATTTTCAGGTAGTTACCTTATGTGCGCTACGAAACTGAAAGTTAAATGGCCTCGGCTCGCGGCCTATATGCCTGATAACTATGTTTGCACAATAAAAGTGTTTGTTTTGTATTGCACTGTTTCCCAATTCTTGGCACTTTTGTGGCCTGCGAACAATGCAAAATAATAATGTGGCCCGCGGAGCCGACAACCTTGGCCACTCTGCTCTAATTAGTTTATTAGAGCGTTTCTTAAACTGTGCTTCGCGGAACACTGCTACTACGCGAGCTTCTTCAGAGTGTTCCACAGAATAGGGATCGAAACGACGATCTCGGCCGCACTGATATTCGGTTAAAAAGTTATATTGAAAGAAGACATGTCGTTGTTGTTGTTTGGCATATATACTGAAGTTAGTTTTAGAATATAGTCCTCGATAAGTATGTGAACCAAGATGACGGACACCGAAATGTAGAATGTGTACCAGGTTAGGGTTAGGCCCTAATTTTATTCCAATTTTCCTTATTTTGGTTTTATTACGAGTTCGGGGACTAGCTAAGTGACTCCTGTAGTATTTGTACCTGAAATTATGACCTAACCCTAACCTGGTACACATAATACGTTTCGGTGTCCGCCATCATGGTTTACATACTTCGGGAGTACCCAAAAATCTGTATCAAACTGCTGTTTTATCTTTTTTGCCTAATTCCCTAGTAATATGCCCAACTCACACTGTTGCTTAGCATGAATATTCAATAGTGACGTTTGGCTCGTTCTATACTTGTTTTGGTATTCGTTTTAGTATCCAAGGTTACGATCCATTGATATTTTATGAACCATGACCTTGTTTTTGTAAATCTGTCTTCCAATAAGGTTACAGTTACATTACTGTATATTGTAATATTTCTACCCTTGATTTCTATACCGGCGTGTAGAATATTATCCAGAATAAACTCGATATTTCAGAGTACTGTGTTTACTTCATGAACCAGAAAACAATATACATTGTATACACTAGGGGCAGGCCAGAGCAAGATAATAACTGCATGAAAGGTCATGAACTCAGACACTGAATTAAATCAACATAAAATATGCAATATCACTACATATATGTGCTGTAGTTGTCATGGTTATCTACCAGTCGGCGTTCGGAGTCGTTTGGTATTAGTGAGTCCGGAACTCTTTAAATATATATTATGCCACTGGTGAT